TGAATGATTTTCTAAATCAATAGCATGCTGGTTAGATGGTCCAGCAGACACTTGATATTTTTAACCTCCTGCGTGTGTAGGCCAGCACCTACACATAAAAATGAATCAAGAATAAATAACTTAATTGGAAAAAAAACTTAACAGTACCTACACATTAGTAAGAATAAATAGTTTAACAATACCTGGTGGACTGTTAAATTGCAAGTTCAATTTTCTTTTAGATTCTTGGACACAAACTTCCAGTGTACTTGTTTGCAACTTCCTTTTTCTTGGCAATATTTTCCATTATATTGGTCCTAATTATCTCCATTAAAGTCAAAATTGGTTTATCGCGAGCTTCCAGAATCATCTTGTGACAGAACCAAAAAATGGCTTAGAATCATATTATAATATAATCATATTTAAATAATTTATTCATTTTACCTTGTTAAATCACTCAGACAAATTGCTGAGAAGCATGTCTAATTTAGTCCTTGGGGAGAAATGAGATTTAGACCATTGGGCAGGGTCTTTTGCATTCAACCAATCAAAAGTTGGTTTTGATAATGCTTTCAGTTCATCCATTGCATCTTCAAACTCTTTTTTGTAGGTAGCTCTAGCTGCCTTCCACAGTGCATCATTTAAGTTCTTTCCTTTGAATTGAGCATTATTCTTAAAGTTGGAGTACAAGTGTCTCACACAAGTCCTATGCTCAGCATTAGGTAAAACATGCATCATTGTCTCAATTAGTCCCTAAAAAACAAGACGCAAAGTATTAGAAAAATTGTTCATAATAGAAAGGAATAATTAATTAAAGGGTAAATCAAAATTACCTTTTGTTTATCTGACATAAATCTGATATTATGGGAGGTTTCAATCTCCAAATCAGTTGTCAACAGTAATAGAAACCAAGTCCAAGATGATTCATTTTCACTAACAACATCATAAGCAATTGGATAGATGTTGTCATTACCATCAATACCAACAGCAGCCAAAAGAGTACCTCCATAATAGCCCTTAAGGTGACAACCATCAATGCTAATTATAGGTCTACAACCTTTGAAACATTCTTTGCATGCTTGTAAACATATGTACATTATTTCAAACACCTTATTATCCAATTTTAGAATGGTTGTGCTTCCAGGATTAGAAGACCTAATTTCTCCAATATAATCATATATCTTTGAGTATTGACCCTTGTGACTCCCAAGGACCATATCAAGAGCTAAGTGCTTAGCTCTCAAGCATTTACTCAATGACACTTTATACACATGATCTTCTAATGCATCCTGCCTTAAAGCTGTAATTGGGCACTGAGGATTAGCCCTAAATTTTTCAAGATATGTTTTAGCCATCCACTTATAGGTTGCATTTTTATTTTTAAAACCCATCAAACAATTATGATCTCCTATATAAGACTTAATTTGCCATGAGGTGTTTGTTTCATCTTTTCAATCAACCCTTGATGCCCAAATATACCATGGACACCCTTCCTTGCAAACAACATGCACCCTAACACTGTCAGTTCTTTTGAATATGATATCAACCCTATTCTTAATCCCAAACTGCCTGACAACCTCTTTGAATTTAACTTATCACCAAAAATCATTCCAACTTTAAACTGTGGGTTTTCCATATCAGTTTCATCGTTAAACTCAGGACATCTATGTTTTCCTCGACCATCAGAGTCAGACTCATAATCAGATTCAGTTTCAGTATGCAATGACTCTACTTCATCAGTTTCATTTTCATCATTCAAAGATGCATTAATATTTCCCTCATCTCTATTGTTTAACCCATTAAAATCTCTTTCAAAATCTACAACTACATGTACCTCATGTACAGACCCCTCTTCCTCACTCACATCATTTTCACTGTATTCAAAACCACTTATAGAAGAATCAGTGTCATCAATAACATATTCTATATCTTCTTCAGAGTTTAACTCAGTCATGAATGTTTCATAAGTTTCATGAGTTTCATGCATTTCAGTTATAACAGTTTCATGAGTTTCAGTTGCATTGTGATATCTGGTTTGAGTGGTTTCAGTGGTTTCGTTCGAGAAGTTTGCTTCATTTTCTTCTAAGTACAAATGAATGTGCCTATTCCTGGGCATATCTTCTAACATGCTAATGATATCACAATCTGTTCTTAATGGCTTAACAACAAATTTATGCTAAGATTGTTCCCAAAACAAATGCCACAAACCAGAATAACCTAACTCTTCCACAATATCATACATTTCAAGCATTGACATATTGTCCACATGGCACATATCAATAAAACTTAACTCCTTTCCAGTGTATTTAAAACCAGATGAATTTACCATAAAGGCACTATGGTGCATAACAATTGTGAAATATTCAGATTCTCTACCTGTCAAAATGCATTAAAAAATCAGTCAACGCATTAAAAATTAACTTTACAATACTAGTGGTCTCCTTACACTACTTTTACAACATTGATAGCAAACAAGAAGACAAAACCAGTATACGGGCCATCATTAACTTGTAAAAAACTAAAATTTGGGACCACCATTGATGACAACTATAGAACAATTAATCATACATGCAGCAAATTTGATGCAACAACCACCGACCATAAAAAAAGTTTTAAAATACCCAACATCCAGCAATATATATTAATATGGATAAACTATTCATTCAATACAGTCATATGCAAAGGCATAAAAATCATGCGGGAAAGCAATCATATATGCACTGAAATAAAAATCATGTGGGAAATCAACAACAATCATATTTTAGACTCTTTTGGAATACAAAAACATAAATAAAACCATATTTAAGTTACATAAATAACGAAGAAAACAACAAATAGTTAGAGATAGAGTGTTTTCATAAAAAAACCTAAAAGTATTTCAAAAAATCTCTAAAAGTATTTCGAAAAAATCTTAAAAAAACGTCAGAGGCTCTTCAAACGCCATTATCGTATTTCATGCTCGCCATTCCTTTCGATCGCAAGAATCGTTTCTCCATTTTGCTTTTGCAGTGACAGATGAAATGAAGGAAATGTTTTTCAGTGATAAAGAATTTTTACACTCTTTTGGAATACAAATGACGAAATGAATGAAAACTTCTGGTTCATTCTTCTGATGGGTTGTATTTGGGAAACCAACGCAAAGTTTTAATTTTTTTTTGAATACTAATGAATTGTTTAATGGGTTTCGGGAATAATAAAACACAAAACTATAAAACGACACCGTTTTAGGAATACAAATAGTCATTTGCAAAACTATGTCGTTTTACTAAACCATCCATGTCATCGCCGTTATGGCATTCGAACGCCATGTCATCGCGCCGTTAACGGATTAACGGCGGAGTGGCAAAATTGAAGTGAAACATAAACGTCCGTGCTAAAATTGACAAAATTAAAACGTCAGTGGCATTTTCGATCCCGAGCATAAAGATGAGTGGTATTTGACATAGATTACCCTTAAAATTTATATTTATAGAAAATAAAAAATATTTTTACTCTACTATAATAAGTTTCTAGTGTCGCCTTTGTGTTAATATCATTTAATTATTAAGACAGTAAAAATCCTAATTGCATGCCAATCTTTAAATTTAAAGTTTTAGTCGTTTTGATTATGCATATTCCGAAAATATGATGTGTAATTTAATATTGAAATCATATATTATTAAAAGAATAAAATTATTAAGGAGAAAAAAATAAAAAAATTAAAATACAGTGAAGTAATTTGTCAAGTTTTCTAACTAAAATTATTTTCTTTTTAAAAAAATATTTTTATAATTTATTATAATATATTAATTCAATTTAAATATCACCTAAACTTATTATAAAAGTGACTCAATTTAGTGTTTTAAATTGAACGATATTCTGTAGTCCATGACTCCGATCGCTTGGTTCACTCTTCAAACCACACGACTGTAAATCTTGCTCCAAATCCCTTTAGAATAAGAACATTCCATAAACAAATGGTTTCTTGATTCTTTATCTGCACAACACAAGCTGCAATCATCGTCAACATTCATTCGCCAAGCCTTTAATAAGTCATCCAAGCTATAAATGAATGCCTGGAAACTCTACTTGCCTTGGGTTTAACCTCCTTCCAAACTTTACTTGCAGGCAGGGACGTAGGATGCTTGCAGGGTATTTCATCCCTTGAACTTGACAACTGTTAACCTAAAGATCTGAACTGCAGCTTCTCTCACCTTCAAAATCTTCTTCCAGCACCAGATATCAAAATAGGATGGAAGACTTTATCCCAAGCTGGTGCTTCATTTGCCGAGGCAAGAACTAACATCCAATCAATTCCTTGCTTCTTGACCCAGGTTTAGTTCCACACCTTTTATCTCACTTTTTTCAGGTTGTTAAAGAGGCTTGTGCCAATCTGATGCCAAAAATGTTGTGTGTCGATACCTCTCTGCAATCTTCACACACTCTTACAATAAGCCAGCGTGCAAGGTGAAGGTGTCAGATGTTAACCCCTCTCTTAATCTTGATGGAGAGATTTTATAGTGACCTTTAATATTGATGTCAAACATAAAGTTATTATGGTTATTCATAGGTTTACAAGCTCGGTAGATTTTATTCTGGTTATTAGGGGGTTATACATTCAAAATCTTTTCTCTAAAGATGTTTTCTTGGAATTTTCATTAAAGAGAAATTCTTTGCACGAGAAATTCCATGATTAAACATGACAGTTTCTTGGTAAAATAAAGTATGGTTGTTAACACTTGATTGTCACCTGCTCTCTCACAAGAGGGCAGAACTAACTAGCTCAGATGACACCCGTTTCTACCATTACATTATCCTGTTTCAAAGAATATTTCATCGGCAGAGCTCCCCCCCCCCCCTTTTTTCAGTTCTGCACTTGGATGCCATGAACAAATGCATACACGTCTGGATTTAAACAAGTAAACTTCTGGTTTACTGAAAAATATCATTTTGTAATCTTAAAACCCAAAAATGGTGAGGTGGTCAGTTGTTTCCTTCCGTGAAAATGGAAAAAACAGCTATACATTCAAAACCCCACCTCTCTTGCTGCTTTGCAGAACCAACCTAATCATCCTAGACATGAACAATATTACCTCAATCCTTCATTTTCACTACTAATTCTCTTACTCAGAGAAGACATGAAACAGCTTCTACTGGAACAACCCTTCTTTGAAATGGTAGCCTTAGGACTATATGACTTGTTTCTTTGACCATCAAGTCCCCATCCATAGCTCTTACAGGATTTCATCTTGGCTCTATTGCTCAACACTTTCTTTGGAAGATCATCTATGCTCATCACCCTTGGTAATGATGTGAATGACTGAGACTTCCCTTGGTAATGCTTTGAAAGCCCTCTCCTGCAAATGGTTTAGAGTTTTGCACAAATTTGATCAGAACCAAGCATTGGTCTCCTGCAATTTCAGATTTTTATTGAAATGGTTCATGTTGTCGGTGCTTACCTGATAGGTAGTTGAGCCATGAGGTCTGATAATTCATAAAGAGGTCCATTGGATGATGATGATGATGCATCCTCAACCAAGTCTGATGAAGATGTTGAAGAAATGGAGTTTTCAGATGAGTTTTCACCAAGAGAGGAGGACGAGTCATCTCCTTCCATGATCATCAAGTTGCTGCCCCAAGCTTCATTGATATCCATCTTCATCTGATTCACAGCAGGAACAAGAACATAAATAAGATCCGAGTTCTGAAAACCCTATGAAAGAGCATATATATATATGTAAAGCCATTGGTTTTGGTGATAATATGAGGTGGCAATAAGCATAGGATAAGGTTGAGCAGTTTAATTATTTAATTGAATAAATGATTTCGGTTATTGTACTCCATTATTCCAAGATTTGTCATTATCACATATCTACTAATGGTGTAGATTTAATATGCCTTTCCCATTGTACTAGGACAATGGATAAGATCTAAATTTGAAGGTATCCATATCCTACTCGGTCTCTTTCTTTGAAAGTTAGGTCTCTATCTTTAGTAACTTCGCTTCGAAAAGCCATGACAACATTTTACATGTCCCAACAGCGATCAGATTGTAAAGGTTGAAACAATGAAGGAGTTAATCTGAAAAATAAAAATTTGTTTGATGACGAAATAAATTAAAATTGAAAATTTGTAATTAATATATAAGTTTTCATGTTAAACTCTCATGATATGATACATGTTGTTTAAGGTTTTAACATTCATACAACTGTAAATATGTATATAGACTTTATAAGTTAGGAAAGGATTTTGTACGGATTGTGGTGTGTTTAGAATTTTTTTAGGATAAATTACACGTTTGGTATTTAAATTATTAATTTTATTTCGTTTTAATACGTTTATCAAAAGAATCTAATGTCTCATTCCACTATCAATTAGTTATATATATATATATTATTTTTGTGATCGATTATTCATTATTATTGATAATTTTATACTATTATTATTTTTATATAAATTTTAATACATAAAAAATGTCCAAAACCCCAAGTTGTATCCAAGGATTTGAAATCAATCTTCTTAGAAATTTGCTTTGACATGAAGAGAATAAGTGATTAAGCTGTTTGATTAAAGAAGCTTTATACTGTGCGTAAAATGGCTAATAATTTAATCCAATGGCCAGCTGGTGATTAGATATATGAAATTGTTCATAAAATTACCTTTACAAATCAATATCTTAAATATTGTTTGGATAAAAAAAATTAAATAATATTAAAAAAAGTTACGAAAATTCCGAGATCAACGTAATTTATTATAATTGTTGATTCTTATTCAAATTAAATCGAAAAACATCAAAATTACAATCCATCCTTTTCTTAACATCTGTCTTGAATTTAAGGAACAGATAATTTCATTTGGTCAAGGAAGGCAAATAGAATTAGTGTATTATTTTAAGAAAACGTAGCCGTCCAATCTATACTTCTAAAGATAACAACCATCCTTTAATCATTGAATTAGTTTGGTTCGTGCACACAAATCAAAAATTTAAATGAATCAAAAATTTAAATGTTAGATTCTAGAGTAGGGATGGATTAAAGAGGACTCTTTTAAAATTTTTAATTTTTTTTATATTTTTGATTTTTTGTTTATTTTTATTAATGATATATTTTTACCTTTAAAATTTTATAAATTTATTTTTCACTAAAGTTTTATAAATTCGTTGTTTTTATTGTAAAAAAATGCGTGTACCTATTATGAAAAATATTGCAAAAGTTGGAGAAATAAATGAATAGATTGAGGCTTTAATTAAAATTATCTTGGATTCGGTTCCTTCTCTTCTTGCAAATATCTTTATGGATTAATTTAATATGAGACAATTGGAATGTTTTATGCTAAAAATTAAGTCCTATATATCTTAAATAAGGTTAAAGATTCGAATTCTAACCTTATAAATAAGGTAAGTTGGATTATTTTCATAGAAAATCTCTATAATACTTGATTCGAATTAATATGTTAATAGATTAAATATCGATAAATATATAAATAATAATAATTTATAAATTATAAATAAAATTATACTTAATTTGAGGTCCGATTACTTTACATTACTTATTCGGGTCATTTCGGACTTAATATCGGACACTTTTCAATTTTAAAGTTCTTAACTTTTAGATTGGGTTCTGTTACTCGGATCAAGCAAAAACTTGCGCTTGTTTCAGCCTTCGTTCAGGAATCAGTCCTTTTGATGGTGACAGCCCAACATGAAAAAAAAAAGTAGACACAAGACAAGAGAACAAACAAATATGCTCCAAGGGACAAAGAGCCGGAATTGAGATACTTTTTCTTAACTAGAATTCACAAAATTTATGGTTATGTCCGTTTCGTCACTCTGACACCACACACGCCAGGCAGGCATCCATGCTTAAGTGCTCACTCACTGTCTCTCACGGTGTAGGAAGAGGAAACAAAGACAGAGAATTAAAGACTTTTACTTGCTGAAGAACGCTGGAAGTTTCGCAGGACCAAAGTTCATATCTTTTAAGGAACAATGGCTTCGAGATTTAGGCTTGTATTTGTAGTTTCTTTGTTGCTTCTACTTCTGGGTATGCTTCTTCTGCAACAGAGTGAATAACAGTGCTTCATTTTGGGGCTTTTCCTTGTTACTTTTTTATTACTATTTAGCTATTTCTCTATTCGTTATTTGCTTCAAATTTTGTATTTTTCAGTCTTGTATCCCCTGATTTTGAGCAAACAGAGTAAAAATCTCATCTTTGTTTTAATTAATTGCTCTTTGGGTCGTCTTAGCTCTGTCATCAAATGTTATCTTTGTAGACCACCAGATGCATTAGTTCTTGCATTCATGTTATCAAATAGGCAGGGGCTTTAATGTCTAGAGACCAGGACAGCTATGTTACAATGTTTGTTTTGGTTTAGGGTTTAGGGTTTAGGGTTTAGGGTTTATATAAATCCTAGACTGACCACATTTTATGTCATGTTATGTTTTTGCCTTGGCAATACATGCTAATTATGTTGTGTGTTGCGAGAGAATTTGTACTAGCTCCGGGAATTTATGACATTACTGATGCCAATTTCTATGACAGATTGCTGCAAAGGAAGCTTTGTTGGCGTTTGCTACGGAAGGAATGCCGATGATCTTCCAACACCTGATAAAGTTGCGAAATTGGTGCAACTTCACAAAATCAAATATCTTAGGATTTATGATTCCAATATCCAAGTGCTGAAGGCCTTTGCAAACACCGGGGTCGAGCTTATGGTGGGAGTTCCGAATTCGGACTTGTTAGCGTTCTCCCAGTTTCAATCAACTGCAGATTCCTGGTTAAAGAATAGCATCCTTCCGTACTACCCGGCCACAAAGGTAACATACATCACAGTAGGTCTTGAAGTAACAGAGAGCCCCAATAATGCCTCTGCCTTGGTTGTGCCTGCTATGCAAAATGTTCTCAAAGCATTAAAAAATGTCGGTCTGCATAAAAGGATTAAAGTTTCGAGCACTCATTCCCTCGGGGTTCTGTCCCGATCATTCCCGCCTTCTGCGGGTGCTTTTAACAGCAGCCATGCATTTTTCTTGAAACCTATGTTGGAATTCCTAGCCGATAATCAGTCACCTTTTATGATCGATTTATATCCTTATTATGCTTATAGAGATTCTCCAAGCAATATCTCTTTGGATTATGCTTTGTTTGAGTCGTCCTCGGAGGTTATAGATCCGAACACTGGTTTACTTTACACTAACATGTTTGATGCCCAGATAGATGCCCTTTATTTTGCCCTGATGGCCTTAAATTTCAGAACAATCCGTGTTATGGTCACTGAAACTGGATGGCCTTCCAAAGGTTCGCCGAAAGAGAAAGCTGCTTCTCCCGACAATGCCCAGACTTATAACGACAATCTAATCCGTCATGTTATCAATGGCTCTGGCACTCCTGCCAAGCCCGGCGAAGAACTAGACGTGTATATTTTCTCGTTGTTTAATGAGAACCGGAAGCCTGGACTTGAATCGGAGAGAAACTGGGGTTTATTTTATCCCGACCAGACTAGTGTCTATAACCTGGACTTCACTGGAAAAGGCACTGTTGAGGCAAACAGTACTAGCGGCACCAAATCGAATACATGGTGCATTGCTTCTAGCAAAGCTTCTGAAGATGATTTACAGAATGCTCTAGATTGGGCTTGTGGTCCTGGGAATGTGGATTGCTCGCCTATTCAGCCTAGCCAGCCGTGTTTCGAGCCTGATAATACACTTTCTCATGCCTCCTTCGCATTCAACAGTTACTACCAGCAAAATGGCGCTACTGATGTTGCTTGCAGTTTCGGGGGAAATGGGGTCAAAGTTGACAAGGATCCTAGTAAGTCAATTACTTCAAACTGAATCTGATTCCTAGATTATACATGCATAGTCATTACCTATTATTCCGACGCCACTTGTATGCGTGAACCTTTAGTTTAGGTGGATGTTTTCGAATGACACTATAATTTGCTTCAATGTGCCCTAACTCGGATGCATCGTGCAAAAGAATATAACTTGTTTAATTATTGGTGCAGGCTATGATAATTGCATCTACGTTACCACACGAGGGTAAGCATGTTTTCTTTGTCATCCTTCATTCTATCCTACTCTATCTATGTTATATTCAGCATGCATTGGCGTCGCCCTCTGATCTGATCATTTAACGTATTGAACTTTGTGATTATCTATCACACAGGGTCAACAAAACCACAACAAGTAATACGACTGCCATTGCTAGCTCTTCTTCGTCGTCCAGACGGACTGAAGTGTGCACATGGGTTGCTAGTTTCTTTCTAATGATACTAATCTCATTCGTCCTAAACCCGATGCATCATTTTCAAGACAGTTAAGGAGAGTCTGACATGCGTTTGGGGTGGGAGGAACTTACTGCAGCAACTAGCTTTTTTGTATGTTATATGATGAGAAGCTGTAAAATGGGAATGAATATTTTGTCCATTGCCGCTGCTTGAAGTGAATGCTGTGTTATTCACCTCATCAATGTCCCTGGTTTTGGTATTGTTTAGCTTAGCATTTGGCTTAATTCTTTTAAGCGTTTGACAGGCACAAACAGAAGATTACATGAACAAAGTTGGCCAAATAATTTACCAAACCCATTAGAGAAAGCCAACATAAACTCAGACCTTCAATAACACCATCCACGAAACAAGTTCGTAAACAGAGCAGGAGATCATAAGCATGACTTACAAACACCAAACTTTCTGCATCTGGAAAAGGGTTCCCTTAAGTACTAGAATAATACTAACTGCACTCAACAATTACAACATGAGGTAACCAAGAGCACTTCTGTATAAATGCCAAGAAGAATTGCTACAAATAAAGGACACAGCAAAGAGATCAAAGACCCTGCTCAATCAGATAATCACCGAGCCTTTCGACAACCATGTTGCACTGCCCGGGGGTCATTGGTTCATCATAGATTCCAATGATCAAGGCCTGATTGGTCTTTTTAACGGTAACACCTCCAGGTCCCTGAAATTAAAATGACAAAACGCTCAGAATACAACCATTGACAAGATAGAGACTAGAAAGTTATGCGGTCATCTGAAATACACCCCCTATGCAATCTCAAATGCATTGAGGCACAAGAACACAAGAAGTAAGGTGCATAGAAGTAAGATCATGAACCAGATGCATACCAAATACATACGAGAGCACAGCATCAATGCAACTAATTTGATCAAAAGGTTGAACCAAGAAACTACACTCGGATCTAAATGCATAAATAACAAATCTATTTGTCTTGATCATAATCTAAAAGAATGCATCTGCTCATGAGATTTGTTAGTGTGACAAGCACAGCGAAATTCAGAACCGCCGAAAATCATCACCTTCTTCCCTCGAATAACGGCTCCTGGTTCACCTTGGATCACCATGTATTTAGTGCCACCAAGGTACAATCCAGTCGGGGCAAGTGATCCAGGCTCATTGAAGTCATTCATGATGCCCGTGATTTCTTCCATCTTAAACTGAAATTAACATAAAACCGAGAAGACTTAAGCACAGGTCAAATCGGGAAAACGAAAAGTAAATAACCATTACATTCTACTGTCTAAAAGCCTAAAAAACCAGCTAAACGAACAGGATTTGCATATTCAAAATGTTGCATTCTCTAAATCATGGTCAACTGCAGAGATCTATTAGCAAAAGTAGATTTCAATTGATTTAAACAATGGATAATGCTTATAAAACAAATAAATCTAAACAAACAGAAACAAACCCAGAAATCATACATGTTTTCCATGCATGAAAAGTCAAATCTTTCAATAAATCATGCAACATAAACTAATAAATCATAGCAAAAAAAAAAACACCCAACTTGAACTTCGAAAAAAAAATCGTTTCACTAAAGAGTAAACAAATAACAGTCCTTTCGGAGCAAATCAGATCAGCTAATAAATCAAACAATGAGAATTCAAATCAGATCCCGTAACTCAAAGGATCAATCTTTTTCTTCGAGAAACCAAACCCAAAACCAAAAAAAGGGGGAATTTGGAGGTGAAGAATAACCTGAGGGAAATTGGAGCTCTGGGCCCAAACGCTGCCGTCTTGGCCGATGATAGCCGCGGCAGTGAGATGGTTGCCTTCGATATCACACAGCAAGTGATCATCAACATAAGCTTGCCACGACATCTTCTTCTTCTTCCTAAGCTTCCGTTGATTTCTTCTAGTAGAGCTTGAGAGTTTCAAAAAAATAAAATAACTGAGAAAGTGTTTTGACTGAAGGGAGAGACACGGAGATATAGCGTAGGAACAACGAGAGATGCTTTATTTCTTTATTTTTCGTTATTTTTCCTTAAATTTTCTTTCCTGTTTGGGCCACAAACAAATTTTTGGGTAAAATATCTAAGGCACTCAAATATTAGTTTGGTTATAAAAGGTCTCTTTTTGTTTTTAAAAATCATAATATAATCATTTAATTAAAATATTATTACAAACATGTCACTTATCATTACATATTAGACTAAATAGTTATGTGATCTAACATAATAATAATTTTAATCTCAAAACTTATAAATTTTATCATTTTGATCCTGATTTGAAAAGACTAAATAAATTTTATATTTTATATTTCAAAATTTTATCAATTTAATTTTTATTCTTCTACTAAATTACTTGTTCGTCTCCAATGAATGTTATAATGTTTTTATGATATAATAACCGTTTAAAAATAACTTGTTATTGCTTTATAGTAGAGTGTAATTATCTAATTGCTATTTTGGTCTAATAGTCTCACTTGATTTAGTAGTATTATGAAAAAGGATTAAATTAATAGAACTTTTGAATATGAAGGGTTAATCGATTTGATAAAATTTACAAGTTTTAGTGACTAAAATTATTATTACACCAAACAAATTAGACACATATTTCAACTTTAGTGATATAGCAATCTATTTGTTACAAAAAATTAGTTAATATAAATATATATAATCATTGGAGGAATCCAAATAGATTAAAAATTTGAGTTAATGACACCTCATGCGCCCAAAGTATAATCTTTGTTTTAAATTGATCCACAAACTTTTAAATATTTTAATTTCATCATTAGAATATGATTATTATTCTAAATTAGTCTTCAAACTTTTGAACATTTTAATTTCATCCCCAAATTATGACCTTCATTCTAAATTGGTCCCTAAACTTTGTGAACATTCCAATTTTATCCCAAACTATATGTATACTAATCACATCACTTGTTAATAAAATCGTCATGTCAAGATATATTATTCTATGTTTGAGAAAAAACAAATTTGAGGTTAAACTATGGTTGAAACAAATTACACATTTGGATGAAATTTGGGATGAAATTGGAAGATTCAAAAGTCTAATGACTAATTTAGAAAAAGGGTCATATTTTAAGGATGGAATTAGAATGTTCAAAAGTTTAAGGACTGATTTAGAATGAGAGTCATGTTTTGAGGATGAAATTGGAATATTCAAAAGTTTGAGGATCAATTTAAAATGAAGATTATAGTTTAGGAACATATGATGTAATTAACTCTAAAATTTATATATAAATATTATTTTTTATAGGTAAAGTATACAAATGATTACTAAATTATACTGAAATAATCTTTTTGACATTAAAAATTTTAAAAGTTATAAAATGATCATTAAACTTCTCAAACAATTACAAAAGGATCATTAAACCTATTAAATTATTATAAAATGAACCTTAAACTTATTGACATTTATAATTATCTTATAACATAAAATGATAATATTATAACAACTCGATAAGTTAAATAATCATTTTTTAAGTTTTAAAAGTTCAATGACCAAAAATATCGTTTCAACATAGTTTAATGTCCATTTATGTACTTCACCATTCTTTTCTAATTTTCACGAAATAATTAGAATAATAAATTTTTAATCTTAATCGTCCATTTGTATTTAGCTTATTCCATAATTATATTTTTATGTAAATCTAACAAGTTTTATACAATGTAATCAAATCACACCATAATACCATTAAGAAACAGATAACAACGTCTAATTTAATACCATTAAAAAATAAAGGATAACACACATAAACTTTAATCTTTAATTTAAGATTTAAAAAGATGTAACCAAATCTTTAATTTAATCTCACCTTAACAATGATTGGTGGCGATTCTCATATTTTCTTAAAATTATTTTATTTTTCAAAAATGTCAAATCGATCTTCACAGTTAAAAATCGATTACGACACATAATATTCGAATCTTCTTTATAAGAAAAACCCAGAACATGGAAATAAATTAAAAAATAATAATGGCATCAATCTGTGTCCAAAAGAGAACATTTATGGAGTGAATCAAACAATCTTAAACTTAACAAAAATATTAGGGTTTTTTTTCCTTTCAATGAGAGAAAAATGCAAAATTGGATTTGATTTGGTAGGTCAATTACATGCCCTGATCAGAAAGATAATCTCCCAACCTCTCTACAACAAGGTTGCATTGCCCCGGAGTCACTGGCTCATCATATATCCCGAATATAAGTGCCGCAGCCGTTTTCTTAATCGTGATCCCTCCCGATCCCTACACCGCACCAAATCCAAGTCGTAATATAGGAGTTTATTCCGTAATATAAATTTAAAAAGTTAAATTAGAAATTTAGGAGGTGCATTACCTTTTTGCCACGAATGACAGCACCGGGCTCGCCCTGGATCACCATATACTTGACTCCGCCGAGGTGTAAGCCTGTCGGGGCAAGGTGGTCCGGGGAGTCAAAATCTTTCATGATGTCGGTGATCTCGTTGCCCTTCAACTGTAAGTAAAAAAAAAAAAAAAAGGAATCACGTGAGACGAGAAAGGTAGAAAACAAATAGGGTTAGCATGAAAAGTGACGAGTACGTCAGGAAATTTTTCGCTCTTAGCCCAAACATTGCCATCATGGCCGATGATAGCGGCGGCAGTAAGGTGCTGGTTTTGGCCTTCGATGTCACACATCAAGTGCTCGTCTACGTAAGTTTGCCACGACATTTTCGTCTTGTTGGTTTGTTTTGTTTACCACGAGATGTTGGGTTTTTTCCCTTCTGTTTTGATTTTTGTTTTTGTTGATTGTGAAATGGAAGTGGGGAGGCAATGGGGTTGAAGAGTTTGGGAAGACGATAACTAAGTGAAGGATTTGAACAAGTTTTGAGGAATTGTGAGCCATGCGTTTTGCTTCGTTTCATTACTGCCATTCACCTTCCGCCTTTACTTCAGCATGCATTGGAGTCCAGACTCATACGGATAAAAACCCAAACCGTTCCATTTTTTTCCAACCGGCTGAATCTTCATTTTCAAACGGAACGGAATCCAATTTTATTTTGGATAATTTTTTTTAAATAAAACAATATATGTTTAGAATTTTTCAATTAATTAACAACGTTTACATATTTTATAAATGCAACTGCTCGAACCTAAGATCTCTAAGTAAAATAAAATTTCTTTAACCACTAAAACAACTCGATGAATTCATTTTAAATAATTACAATAATAGTCTATCTCGCTTCATCCATTTTTTTTAAAGAGCGTACTTTGTATTACGAATAATTGCAAAGTACACCACCTTGAGGACCTCATTAAAAAACCTCCCTAACCTTAAGTGAAGGAAAAAGAGTGAACCAAGAGGTGGAAAGTATCGAATACAAAAATCACATTAACAACACATAAGGCATACCCCAAGCCACAACCCAACTCAAACTAACACCAATACAAACCATGCAACAAAACGAAGACAGATCGAGCTGGACAACCATAATATTGATCTGCAGCGAACACAGCAGCAAAGGAACGTATCCAAATAACAACAGAACCCCTGATCACCAAACCTGCTAAAACACTAACATAGCACCATGACTTCAACATTCTTCCTCCCAGCACACAAAACTCATCAAACAAACATTCTCCATTTCGCTTCATCCATTTCATCATATAATTTTTTTTTATTTTAATTACATACATGTATCACATAAGGGTAAGACAAAATAGGATAGGTGAGAATAATTGTATTAACGATATAAATTATTTTATGAGATGATTACAAATAAAATATCATAATCAAATTTTTATTATAATATAGATTATACATCCATAATTTATTTTTTTTATCAAATAAAAATAAAATTTATCTTTTTTTATATATTTATTTTTTATCAAATAAAATAATAATAATTTTTTTTATAATATCTCTATATATCTGTACATTTTTCAATTAGTTCTTTATTTTAATTGAATAAAAATAAAAAAGAATTATTTATTTCATGTTAATAAATAATCAGTTTATTCAATATCTACACATAATTAATCAGTTATCTAAATATTAGCTCGAAGTAAGTACTCAAAAACTCATTTTTTTTATGTTTAATAAATAATTTATCTAAATATTTAATTTTATGTCAAATTTAAAATAATTAAATATCTACACATAATTAATCAGTTTATTCAAGTTTAAGTATTCAAAATCGATAATTGAATTAGATTAACCATATAAAATTAATAAATCTAATTAATGATATGTGTATATAACTATATGTGTTTTTTACTTAATAAAATATTTATCTATGAATATATATGTATTTTTATGTGGTTTGAATTTTTAAATTTTATATTTGTTTATATAAATTTATCAAAATTATATGATTTATAACACGAGTCATACTTTTTACTACTCAAATAATATATATATATATATATATTAAGATTTTTAAGGGATGACGTGGCTTTTTTTGTAAAAAGAAATTCGAAACATCATAATTAGCTCTGCCTTGAATTCACAAAAAAAAAAGGATAAGTTGAAAGAGTGAAACCGTCCCGCCAGCGTTGGGCTCGTCACACAAATAGAACCAAATCTATCTAATCAAGGAAATAAAGTCAACGGTTAAAAAACCAAAACACAAAGACGGCAGCGTTTTACACTTTACTGCAGTCGTGGTATATAAATTTTAGGATAGCCCGGTCGGATCTTCAATGCATCAGCCACTCTACGGGAGAGATCCAATAAAAAGAATAAAATAAACTCTCCCTCTCAAATTACCGAATAATTGTTTTCGCTTCAATGGCTTCTCGGTCCCTAATCTCCGTATTCCTCGTCCTCCTCATCGGCTCCGGTATCAATTCCTCGGCTACTTTGGAACCCATTATCCGACTCCCGACGACGAGAGCAACGGAGGCCGACAGCCGATCCCACGGCGACGAAGACGGAATTTACTGTGCAAGCTGGCATCTAGCCGCCGAGACCAATAACGCCGGCGGTTGGACCCAGATCCCCTCCCGCTGCCATTTCTACGTCAAATATTACATGACCGCTAAACGCTACGAGTCCGACTGCGAGGTCGTCGCTAATTTCTCCCTCGCATTTGCCTCCACCGTCGAGATGGCTCCCGACGGGAAAGACGCCTGGATCTTCGATGTCGACGAGACTTTGTTGACCAATATGCCCTACTATATAGATCATGGGTTCGGGTACGTACATTGACCATCTCCTTTGTTTCTCTGGTTAAACTACGTATTTTAATGTCTAAATTATTATTTTTATTTTATTTTAGTATCTAAATTTTATTTTGCTTCAAAAGTATACCTAAGATTTCATTTAGTAACCGATTTTGAAAAAAAATAAAATTTGGTATAAAATGAAATGAATCTGATAGTTTACTCTTGTTTTTTTAAATCCCATGTGTCAGATAAGATTCGAAATGGATGCACTCTCTTTGCTTTTTGGTTGCGTTAATGGCATTGAAAAACTCAGATCTTGCGGTGTAAAGTTGGTCTTAGCGGGTTAGATCACTGATGGGCTTTGTTAATCCACGGTTACCGTGCGAGCACATGAAAATTATATTAATATTGATTATGAATCATTTGCTCTTAGCCTATTAATATTGATATTTAAGGAAGGAAAATGATAACTATTGTACTGTATTGTTTTTTTTTTCTTGAATGCAATGACAAAATTTTGCGGGAAAAAAAACTACATCAAAGACAATAATATTTTCCGGTGCAATGGAATTACCCCTAAATTAAAATGAATTCGCTACTTAAAAATATGCTTAGTTATTATTTAAAATTGGTAATGATTAATTAATTATTGGTAGATGGATGAGGTGGGAGATTTCTTAAGTAAAGTATGGATTCGAGACAAAATTGGGTTTAAATAATTGCTCATAATGATCCTTTGTCGTAAGAGAAAATTGGCGTCACATGATGGACCTTTATATTATTCAGTCCAGATTAATAAACTTTAAAGATTGCCTTTAAGAGAGTTAAGACAATCCAAGTAAAATATATCTTAATATAGATCAATTATGGTGATGAAAATACGTTTGATACATCAGTCGAGTCAGGTAAAATTAAAGAATCCCTCTTTGTGGTGGGATTATGTGATGGAATCATTGTAGTATATTTTGGGAGATTGATTCAAGAACATTATTTCGCTATTCTAAAATGATTTTCATCTTGGTTGTGTTTTGACACTGGATGAGGAACGTGCATATTCCGTGGTCCTAGTTGTTAGTTTTGTCTATTGCTAATATTGGTGGTTGATGACATATGGCTTGTGCAAAAAGGTTGATATATGGCAATGACTAGGGCGGCTCATGTTTATCTGTGTATACCGAATGGAAAGGAGTTATCTGATCTGTTTACTTTGTCGTACATTTTATATGCGTGTGGCTTTCATTCATCGAAATCTGAGGCTGTCTTGCGATGAATGTAGATCAGAAGTCTTCAACGAGAGCTGCTGGGATGAGTGGGTGGCATTAGCCAAGGCCCCAGCCATGCCATCGAGTTTGAAATTGTATAACGCATTGAAGCAGATGGGGTTCAAAATATTTGTGCTTACCGGCCGAAGGGAACATCAGAGGCAGGACACCAGCAAGAATCTTGAGCTTGCCGGGTATACTGGCTGGGAAGGGCTTATCTTGAGGTATGTTAAGCTTTCAAGCAAGCATTTCCCCGGTTCTGGTTTTAATGATCATACTTTCTAAAAACATTATAATGGGTTATGGTACAGAGGAGCTTCAGATAGAGGGATACCAGCGACAGTATACAAATCAGAGAGGAGATCGGTTCTGTCAAATGGAGGTTATAGAATTCATGGGAGCTCTGGAGATCAATGGAGTGACTTGCTGGGTTTTGCAGTGGCAAAACGTTCCTTTAAACTGCCTAATCCAATGTATTACATAGGCTAGAAAACATTGAAAAAAGGGCAATTGCCTGCAACTTATTGTTGTTACTCCACTTCCTGATGTTCAAATTTAATGACTAGTTTATCCAGCATTTTTTTTTTTGCTTTCACTTTACTTTAGATAATCTTTGATGGCTTCTAGTCTTACAAGTCTAAGCAGAGCTTTGGAATTTGTCGATCCTGAACTGAAGTTGTAGGGATTGGTTTGGTTTTCTAATCAGACAAACATTATGATTGGATCAATGACTGTTGAATTGAGTGATAATGAGTTCAATAGACCTTTAGGTTTGGGTTCGTGTTGGGAGAGTGTAGTGTCTGGTTTAGGATAGATATCATATTTTAAAGAAGGAAAAACAGGACATGAAGTTAGAAGCTCCAAGTTGAAATTTGCCATTAATAAGTGGGAAAATTGACAACCAGTAATTTCCACCGTAACGAGATCATGGAGATGTTGAGCTTACATTAACCACCAAGTTCCCAAGCAATGCACCACAAACCAGAGGCTGTGCAGAGGGGATTCTGAGACAACTCAACCCTCCTCCGGGGATCACCGAGCACTCTGGTTGCGGTCTCTGCATGTCTCTCCCGGGTATACAATTAATCGAGAAGTCAAATCCGGTATTCCTAAAGAACTTGGAACATTCTTGGCTAAACCCGGAGAAGAAATTGTATGCAACGGTCAAATTCATAAGGCTGCTTAATGAACAAACCAAATCAGGGAGTACACCGGATAGTTTGTTGTGTGCCAGATTGAGGACCTCGATGTCACTTAAACAAGATATCGTGTCCGGCAAATGACCCATCAGCGAGTTGCGGCTCACGTCGAAAACTTGCATCTCCGAGAACAGCCCAACGCCATCCGGAATGCAGCCTGTTAACTGGTTGTTAAGCAGTAAAATCTCCTTCAATTTCGAACCGGATAGCCCGAAACTCACAGGGATGTTTCCACTGAACTTGTTGTTGGCCAAGTTTATAACCGAAGCCGGTGAATTCCCCAGATTTTGTGGGAGTTCACCTTCAAACTGGTTGTTGTTGAGAAGATGGCATCGAGTCTTCTGTCGAATAGATCATCAGGGATGGGTCCTGAGAAGCTGTTGAACCTAAGGTCTAAATAAACAAGATTGGGAATGTATAAAACAACCGTGGGAAAAGGACCTGAGAAATGGTTGTTGCTGAGGTCCAACTCTTGAAGTGATATAATGTCTCTGAAAGTTTCAGGGACTGTGCCCGATAAACGGTTGCTGTTAAGGTGGAGGATCGAGATATCAGTCAGCAAAGACAGTTCTTTCACCAGCGTGCCTTGTAGATTTGCATGGTTGAGATCTATGCCTGCAACAAATGGACCCATTGCACCTTGAGAACCAGCACAAAAGACCCCTTTATAAGCACACACATCATAGCCAACCCAAGTCTTCAAAATCCCCAATGGATCATCTGTGATGGCAGATTTCCATGCTTGAAGAGCAGTGTAAGCACTGCTCAGCTTTGAAACTGGAGCGCCTGATGGAGTTGGGTTGTTGTTGTAGCTGTTGATTCCTCCACCAATCCTAACACCGCCACCGCCACCAGCATTGCCGATACTAATGCCGACACCTCCACCCACGGTCATGGCTGCTGCTTGTGTTGGAATTATCTGCCAAAGGATAAAAGCCAGGAGCCAGAACTTGCCCATTTTCTTTTCCTCTACGTTGAAGACGGTGAGATGTTTACTGTGATACTGATGGGTAAGTTTTCTTGTAATGTTTGTGTAGCAAAATGCAGGTTAGACTGCTGCATTGAAGACAGTACATGGTGGGGGTTTATTTGCTCATGAATGCTTTATTTAATTATTTGTTTTTGTGAATGGTTCGGTCATGGTCTTGGGGCTCTTCTTTTTGTTGTACGCGTTGCTTTTACTGTGCAAAAGTTGACTTGAGAGGCTAATGTGGCAGACCCAGAAAAGGGCGGCTGTTGGACTTGGCTGAGCTCTCATGGCCATGCCTAACGGCCTGATGCGGTAGAAAAGCCTGACCTTGGTCCCTAGGCAAATGCATTATAAAAGAAAAATAGTAATAACAATGAAGGCCTAGTATTTGAAAATAAATAAATAAATAATATGTTATCAAATATTGATAATGTTTTTTTTTAACTATGAGTATTTTTAATATATATATATATTTTAAAAAGAAGATAATTATATTGTAATAAGAAGTACTTAAAGTTATTTGAGATCAAGATTAAATTGAAACAATTTGAAGTTTAAAAATATTTATTTTTCATTTTATTACCCGACCTATCATTTGAATTCATTTGATCCCTTAAATATAATTTAATATATTATTTTAAAAATATAAAAATAAAACAATTGGATCAATTAATACCATAAAAATCGTATATCCAGTTATAGTTGAATTAATAAATTAATTAAAAATATACTGGAATCCACCTACTTAACTGTCTGCTTGTCCCTATAAAGCTTAGCTATACAGTTACAGCTTTATAACGTTGCGTGGTAGCTGATGGTCGTAAATTGAAATAAATAAAATCAGAGGAAAGGCTGGGAAGATGTAGGTGATAAGATAGGATCCAACCATATTATAAATACCGGTTAATTGCTGCACGTTGATATATTGCACGTGACCCAATAAGGTGAATCACCACTTTAAACTACGTGATAATCACATTTGTTTTTCCGATATTATCTACTTTAGTTATCAATTTAAAAATTAAGCGAAAATAATTTATAATGTTATTGTTCTGTTCGACATCGTTAATATATGTTAACCCATTAACAAAAATTTTATGTGACACTTAAAAAAATCATATGTTGCTTCTTCTTCTCATAAAACCACCCACACAACCATTTCAATTACAAAAGCATCCATTAAAACACGTTAAAACTCCCATGTCGTAACTTTGGTTCTTGGCCCTTCTCTGACGAACATTGCTACAATTTTTTCGGTCGAAACGTCTCTAGTGATGGTGCCGGTCGATGAAAGATTAGGATGAATCCGACTAGAGGTTCCTCGAAAAGAAAGTGTCTCGGTTTCATCTTCACTGCTAAGCCATCACCACGACCCAAAGTGATGATTATTACCACTTCCTTGAGAAGATGAGCTGAAAAACGTGGCATCAGTCGATGCATTCTCGCTTTTGAGATGAACCCTTTTCTTCTTATTCTTCCTCATTTTGTGTCTATTGATGTTTTTATTCTTCACGTATAATCCAAAATCTTTACAATCAGAGCAAAGATTCAATGGCGATAAAAGGGTTATTACCGGCAGGGCATTTTCGGACATCAAAACCAGGGCTAAACCTGAACCCTAAATAACAAAAAGAGGATCACAAGCAAACGTTTAATGTTGTGGGATAGTTTTTCTCGGTGTATTCATGATACATTTATGATTAATGGCGTTTTGGTTTAAAAATGGAAGGAAAAGGTCGAGCCTTTGGCGACAACAGTGACGATAGAGGGTTGAACAATGTCCATAGGATTAAAACCTACCAAAGTTAAAAAAATGTAAACGAAAGGCTTTTAGTTATATATATAAAGTCTATTTTTTTCATGGAAGATTACAGTATTGATATGAAACAACACAGTGAAGAAGAAAACCAAAAAAAAAAAAATTAAAAAGGTAGAAGTGCTTAACAAACAAGGAAAAGTGAAAAAGATTGTCAGCTAACGATTTAGAATGGATAGAATTTTCATATTTGAGAAGAGTTAGGCAGGTCAAGAAAGAAGATTTTGGGTAATGAAGTAGTAGCTTTTAAGATTTGTGATTAGTAGATACGAGGACGAACTGATTTTATTTTATTTTTTAATTGGCACTTCATATTTTCGTTAAGGGGTCAACAGAAGTTAACGGTGGAGACATTTAAATTGGACAGACCGATAACGTTAGGGACTTAAATCGAACGGATCAATAACGTTAGTGATTATTTCTCCTTAATTTTTAAATTGGTGACCAAAGTCGGTCAGATCGAAAATAAAAGGGGCTATTAGCGTAGTTTATCCTAATTAGATTTATTATCTCATTATAAAAATTATTATAAATTTATTTTTTTTAATTTAATTTATAATATTTATAACATCAAATTTTAAAATTTTAATTATATCTCATCTCACTATATTAGTTAATTATCAGTAATGCTAAACATATATATTTTTTTAACAGATGTAGGCAAGTGTATTTTTCTAAGAGATTACCGTATCACGAGGAAAGTTGTTGGATTAATTATTGTGTACATTAGAATGGAGGAGCAAATTCTGGTAGTTGAGGCCTTGTGGCCAATGGTTCTTCCCATCGTTGGGGTATGCTTAAGTACATTTCTTGGTAGTAGTATGTATTTTTAACAAGTTATATAATGATATAAAATTATAAAATTAAACTATTCATAAAATATTTAATTTATATAAGAATTTAAATTTTTTAAAGATATTATCATTTTTCAATACTATTCAATCAATCATTGGTATACTCAAAATTACAAATAGATAATCAATAAGTGTTAAATATAATAATAAAGTATATTATAATTTTAAAGAGGAGATTTAAATTTAAATTTTAAAAATAATTAATCATATTGCAAACATAAATCATAATATATATATATATATATATATATTTGAATATTCCAAGATGATTATATTATAATATTTATTTATAATTTTTCTTAGTATCTGATAACACATTATGTAGATATAGTTGCTCAAACTCAAGATCTTTAGATCGAACAATACTTATTTTTACTATTAAAATTGTTCAATATTATCAATATATATATATATTAATTTGAAGTACCTATAAGATAATATTTGAAAATGACCATTCAACTCAGTTGGTAGAGCACAAGACTCTTAACCTTGGGGGTCGTGGGATCGAGTTTCACGGAGGGCATTTCATAATTCGGAGGTCTCCTACGGATTTGTTCTTAACCTGGCGTTAGGGGCAACCTACTATCCTACCTCCCCCTTATCCCATTATATATGGGAATGAGGGTCAGCTAATTTATGAGATAATATTTGTTTAAAAATTTTCAATCAATTAATCATACTCTTAACATATATGATGTTCAAATTTAAAATATTAAATAATAATAATTTTATAACCATTAAGATAA